CGGAGGAGCCCTCCAACAGCAAATGGAGGAAGGAAGGGCAGAACCAGCTGCGGCAGGCGGAGGAGCGTGGTCGCGACCAGAACCGCAACGAACTCAGCCTTCCCAGCAAGGAGCTGAGCACGCTGCTGGTCCCGCTGACGGGGCAGGAGGCCAAGGGCCCAGAGGCCGAGGAGGAGGAGGAGGAGGAGGAGGAAGAAGACGAGGAGGAGGAGGAGGAGGAGGAGGAGGAGGAAGGCTCCACCCCGGTCCGGAGTGAGCCTGTGACTGAGTCGGAGCAGAGCTCAGAGTGGGCACTGCCTCGGGGGGAGCAAGGACGCAGCGCCAGCCTCCTCTTTGCCACCCGCAACAGCACCGCCAGCGACGAAGATTCCAGCTGGGCCACCCTCAGCCAGGGCAGCCCCACCGGCAGCTCCCTGGATGAAGCCGGTGGGTCACTGGGGGTGGGGAAGCAGAGCAAGGGGCCATCCGTGACTTGCTGGGGGGGACGACCCCCATGGCAGAGAGGCCACCTGCCTGGGCCAAGCAGAACCAGGTGGCTGGGCCAAGCCCTGCGGGAGGAGGGAATGGGAGGGGGGGGGAGAACCTCTGGCCCCATGCCTGTTGAAACAGACCTTGGGAAATCTTCAGAGGGCAAGCGCAGAGGTTCTGGGTTGGGGGGTGTGCTGGGCGGCTTGGGGCTGCTTTCTAATATGCCCCCCCCCCCAGTCAACTGGCAGCATTGCTCCTGCACTGGCTCAGCTAGGCTCCGAAGGCCCCCAGGGGGGGAGCTGTGATGTCACCCGCCCGTCGTCCCCAGGGACTGCCCAGTGCCCAGCAACCAGCCCTGGGATGCTGCTTCTGATCCTGCCCCCTGCAGCTGTGGCTGTCTCCAGCAGCCTCCCACGGGCGGGGGAGGCTTTCCACCCCCCCTCCTCTCGGCCCTGGGGGAGCCCGGCTGCTGCTGCTCGCCTGCCGCTGAGATGCACTTCGCCTTGGAGGAGGAAGGGGGGCTTTCGGGCTGGACGGGGAGTGGGCTGAGCGATGTGGACTGGCGAGAGGCTGGTGGGCCCCGGGGCTGCAGGGGGGGGGGCAGGCCTGGGGCAGCTATTTAAATTATCCTGGGTTTAAGTCTGTGGAAGATTTTTGTCAGGCTGCAGGAAGAGCTTCTGCTACAGGGCATGCATCCCCCCCCCCCGCTGGCTGTGCTGCAGCTGCCCTTATTCCTGGGGTGGGGAGGGGGTGGGGAGGGGGTGCCAGTGGGCAGGGGGAGGGGCTGGGGGAGCTGGGGAGGCCGGAGGAAGGAGGCAGGGAGTATGGCGGGGGGGGGCGGGGTGAAAGGGAAATTAAGGATGAGATAATGCCATGATTGTACTTTTAATTTCGCTTTCTGTCTTATGCTGGGCACAGAGGGGGGGCAGGGGCCCTGAGGGGAGGTCCCATCAGCCACAGAATTGAGGAGGGGGCGCTTAGGGGGCAAAACCCCTCTCTCCCTTTCTTGTGACTCTTGGCTGCAGCCCCTCTTGCTCTGGCTTGGCCCTCCCTCCCCCAGGGCTCTCAGCTGGCCTTGGCCTTTGGGGGGGAGGGAGTGGGGGCTCTTCTGCTGGGGTGGGGAGGGGGTGGCTAAGGAGGCCGGGGGCTCTTCTCTGCCTGCCCCACTGCACACCAGAGTTGCCCAAGAGGAGGCAGGAAGACTGGCGGGCTCCGGGGGGGCCTTTGGGGCTCCGTGTGGAGAGATGGGCTTGGCGTGGGCAGCCAGAGCCAGGGGCCCCTCTGCCACCTGTGGGGATGGGACAGGGCTGGCAGGAGGAGTTGACAGGGGACCCCTGCCTGCTTCCTCCCCAGCCGCCCTGGCTGATGGGCAGTTTGGGCTCCAGTAAGGCCGGAGGGGGTGGGGTGGGGGTGTTTGGGGAAATAAGCACCGAGTCCATCATCCCCGGCCCTGCCTGGGGCAGCAGCGCCTGGAGAGCCTCGTGGCACAATGAAGCCCAGGCCTTAGACGGGGGCACGCAAGCATCTGCATGGGGTGGGGGTGGGGGCAGGAGGGTCTTCCATGTCGGTCGAGGCTCCTTGCCTGGGAGGGGGGCAGCGGAGGGGAGGGGGGCTTAACATGTTTCTTCCCAGGCTGGGCTGAGCCTCCCCAGCCGCCTCCCTCCTGGGCTGGCAGGATCGGCTGCTTCCCAGCCCTGCCTGGGGGAGGCCCAGAGCCGTCCAGGGACCCACCTGGTTCCTCCTCTCGGCAGAGTCCTTCTGGCTGTGCAACGCCCTGGAGACGGACTCCGACCTCCCAGCCGGATGGATGAGGGTCCAGGACACCTCCGGCACCTACTACTGGCACATCCCCACCGGGACCACCCAATGGGAGCCCCCCTCGGCAGGAAACACCCCCACCCGGGAGACACAGGTGAGAGGCTGCGGGGGAGGGGCCCTCCTCCTGGCCATGTGGGGGGGGCAGGGGTTGGACCGTCCTGCTGGCCCCCCCCGGATCTGAGGGACATCAAAGGAGCTGGGGATTTACTTACTTCGATTTTCATCCAGCCTTTATTATTTATTTTAAATAATTCAAAGCAGCAAACATCGGACAGTCCTTCCTCCTCCTCCTCCTTCCCCACAAACCCCTCCTCACCTTGCCAGGCGCATTGGGGGAGACACCCTGAGGCAGGACTAGAACTCCCAGTCTCCTGGTGATTGGCCCAGTCACCCAGCTGGTTGGCTTTCATGCCTGAGGCGGGGCTAGGACTCCCAGTCGCCTGGTTTCTCGCCTGGGCTCCTGAGCCACCAGACCGAACCTTTGGCTCCGGGTCACAGCAGCAGCCGAAAGGCTACCCAGGACTGGTGCTCAGGAGGGCAGGGCTGGGCACACCAGGTACAGGATGGCAGCTGCCGGGGGGGGGGGGGTGCGTCTGTGTGAACCCAGCCAGGCCATGGCAGCCGGCACTTCCACTCTGTGGCCCCAGTCCAAGGAGGGCCCTGGCTGGCCCCTCTGCAAAGGGGGAGCCTCCGCACAGCTTCCTGCTCTGAGCAGCAGTGGGGTGTGTGTGTGTGTGTGTGTGTGTGTGTGCGCAGCTGGGAGCCTCTGGCGTTGCTCTTCCAAGGCACGCACACCCACGCACCCCCCCCCCGTCTCCCAAGGCCTCCGGCTGCATCCCCTCCCCCCAAGCGACTCTGGGTCTCGTGGCTGGCAGCTGTGGTGGGGGGGGCAGGAGGGTTTCCCTGGGACCCCCCTGCACAGTGGCTGTGGTTCCTGTAAGCCTGGAAGGTGGGAGATGCTCTTCCCCCTCACGGGGGATGGAGGGTGGGCGCGGCCCTTGTGCTCCTGGGGAGGCCTGGAGTGAGCATCCCCTCCCGTGGCAGCAACTCCCCTCTGCCCACACAGCTCCTTCCGGAGGGGAACGATGGGTCCTCTCCAGACCAGGCTGGGCATCCAGTAGACCCTCTGGGCTGGGCGGAGCGGAGCAGGAGTGGGGGGGGGGGGCGGCCAGAGGGGCTTTTTTGGAAGCGGGGGGGGGGAGGGGCGTTGGGGGAAGGGCTGATGTGGGGAGCCTAGCAGGGACACAGCTGGGGGAGGGGTTCACTCTTCACCCCCCACCTTCCCTGCAGCTCACTTGGATGGACTTTGGACAGACAGAGGCAGCTCCCGATTCAGACTTCTGGAAAGTGAGTCTGGGCCGTGGCGGGGGGGGCGCAGGGGCAGGAGTGGTGGTGGGGGGGGCTCGGCTGCTCCTAATGGCCTTCCTCCCCCAGGAGGTGCCGCCAGAGGGGGCAACCCCCGACTCCCCGTTGGATGAGGGGCCGCCCAGCTCAGCCTTGGCGTCTTCCGGCGTACGGTGAGTGTGTTTGGGGGGGGGTTGTCCTGTGGCCGTGGGAGGGGCTCTCCCTCAGGGGTCCGGCATAGTTCAGAGAGCCTGTGGAGGCCTAAGCGGAGATGGCCTCTGCCCGCCAACATCCCTGCATCAGAAGCCACCTGGCACCTCCCTTCACCGCAGAGCAGGGAGGGAGGGAGGGAGGATGGGGAGAAGGGTTGGGGGCACTGCCAGGCTGGGGGCCCACCCTGCCTCCAGGGCTCTTTCGGTCCCTCTTGGGGGGCATCAGGTTGTGTCTGCACATCTGCCGCCTGTGGGGGGGGTGTCTGGCCTGAGGCTCCTGGGTGTGGGTGGTCCCTGGGGGGCGGAGGGGGGCCGTGTCGAAGGGCAGCCCAACTGAGAGCCCCCTTTCTCCTCCAGCTCTTCCCTGGAAGCCGGAGGGGAGGAAGCAGCCGGGCTGCTGGGACTTTCCCCGGGATCGAAGGTAAAGCTGCCCGGTGCCACGAGGTTGGCAGGCTCTCTTGGGCCACAGGCAGGGCGGCTTCTGAGCCCCTTGCAGGAGGAAGCCCCCCTCACCGCCCCCCAGTTGTTGGGGATCCGAAGGCCTAGGGGAGCAGGAATTGGGCCGGGGGCTCCACCCTCCGTGAATGGCCTGAGCGGGGGAGGCTCCAGGGAGGGACACCCGGTGGTGCCCCCTCCTAGGCATCGCCCGGGGTAACCCCGCTGCCACTTTCACCTGGGGGGGGGGAGAGTTCCTCCTTGGGGAGGGCTTCCGCCCCGGACACCCGTGTCTCCTCTGCTTCCCGCAGTGCTTCTCCGTCCACTCACTGGGCTGGGTGGAGATGGCCGAGGAGGAGTTGGCCCCCGGCCGGAGCGCAATGGCCGTCAACAACTGCATCCGGCAGCTGGCCGGGCGGGAGCTGGCCCTGGGGGGCTCCTGGGCGGAGGTGAGCGGCTGGCGGGGAGGAGGGCAGGGGAGCAGCCAGGCCTGGGGGGGGGGGGCAGAGGCCGATGGGGAGCCTGGGCCGGCTGAGGGAGGGGAGCCCTGAGGGCCTGAGGGGGGTGGGGGACCGGCAGCTCTCCCCCTCCCTCCCCCCCCCCCAGGGCAAGGCCATGCTGCTGGTGCTGGAGGAGGAGCGGCTGAAGCTGCTGGAGCCGCAGGAGAGGAGGGAGCTGCACTGCCTGCCTATTTCGGCCATCCGGGTCTGGGGCGTCGGGCGGGACAGTGGAAGGTAGGTGGCCGTGGTGCCAGGGGGCTGCTGGGCGGGGGCTTCCCTGGAGGATCCTTAGCCCAGGCCAGCTGACCCTCCTCCTGGGTGGGGCTGCTCCACAGGAGGCCGGGGGCGGCTGAGCCGCCTGGGGAAGCGCGTGTCCCCCTTGAGGGGCATCTGGGGAAGCCCCAAGACCTCCCGCCTCTCAGGCTGGCCTGGCAGTGAGGCTGGGGTCTCCTCCCAGAGTCTGGGGGCTGCGTAGACCTGCAGTCCAAACCAGCCTGGACTTTTGGCTCCCTCTGTGAGAGAGTCCCTCCCCCTCTAGTCTCGGGTGGGGTGGGGGCTCCCCATGGACGACACTGAATGGGGGGGGGGGATCTTGTAGTAGCTCTGATGGCCGGATCTGATGGGCCAATCCAGGACCGAGG